TGCGGAGGCTCCTCAGGTCAAGGTGAATTTGGCTTTATAGTTTCATTGGCAAATGGAGAAATCCACCACTTCAGCTTGTTGAATCTGATGGGATTTGAGAGATTTCAAACAGCCACCGGATAGCTTCAAGTCTTTTTTCCATGTTAAACAAACTGATTTGTCATTCTAGAGAAATATTTCACTTTGGCTCAAAGTAGTTGCACTGGGAAACTGCTGATGCAAAACCTTTGTCTTCCAGAGCTTTATCCCTCCTCCTTCCCTGCATGTGCACATGTACAGCCAAGTATGTAATTCTCCATTTAGTGAATAGCTGTGATTGTCCCACCGCATTTCTTAAGAAAGAGGAAAGACCTAATCCTGGACAGAGTTTTCATGTTTCTGCCCATCCTACATTTTATTCTATTGCTGCCAGCAGAAAATGGAGGACTTCTGCTAACAGGAATAAAGTTAATTTTTTTTTTTCTTTATCCTGAATAAAGTGTGCTGCAGTTATGAGCAGGAAATTGAAGTATATATTAAAGAAAAGAGCATGTTGTGGATAATGCTCCACTCTCAGGTCAGATGAGCATTTGGACTCTCCTGCTTTGTGCTGCAGCTGCTGGCCTTTCTCCCTTGTGGCATCATTCATAGTCCCACACTGACCTAACAGAAATGTTAGTACAGGTGCTAAGGGAGAACTTTCTTCTAAACTAAAACCAGTTAACAAAACAAGTTATCACTTGTATGGTAGCCAGACCATCCCCAGAGATAAGCTGTGAGCTGGCTGGAGATCTTCCATACCCTTGGATCTGACACAACTGGCTGCTGACCACTGACTCTCTAAAGGCTGTAATGGCTTTCATGGATTTACTGTAGGTCAGGCAGTTTATGCAGGGAATTGCTCAGCTCTGTAGCTGTAAATCTTTCCCAGAGGTGGAGGCTGTAGCATTGCATACAGCTTTTACATATGGCTAAATACAAAAGGTTCAAAGCCCTGAGAGCTCTTTGAGCCAGATACTGACCATTGGCTCCTTTATCTGACCTTCATATGATTGCCTTCCTTGTGTGGGAAGTGCTTGGCCGTGCTGACTGTTTCAGAGTTTTGTATTAAACTGTCTCTAAGCATGCTGTGCCTCTCCTCAGATGCTGAACAGAGCTTGCTGCAGGGAAGTGGCACCGGAGACCTCAGCACAGGAGCAGCCAGCGAAGCTGCCCACACAGCTAGCGGGAGAGGCATGCACACAGGGTGACTGCAGAACTGCGTGGAGCTGCCGCGTGCCAGAGGCTGCAGGGCTTGGTTTGCAGAAGGTGGTGGAACTGGTTCAGTTCAGGAGCAGCTCTGGGTAGAGCCTGGTAGCAAGTTTGAGTCTCCTAACGTCTCGGTGCGAGTGGACACAGCTCTCTGGATTTTGTCTTGGGAAGAGAATGTGTGTGTGTGTGTGTGTGTGTACACACAGGGAGAGGGGAGGGAGGGAGGCTGATGAGCAGAGCCAAGGGAAGAAAGACTGTTGTAGCTAGAAGCAGTGGGCTCGCGTCGAGGAGCCAGGGGTCCATTAACACTGATGCTGCAGGTTCCCTGTGCACTTGGTTATGTTGCTTAATCTGATGTCCCTCTCGCTTATCATCCTTGGAATGAGGTGGGTTTTTTTTATCTTCCATGTTTTGGACTGAGTTTCTCAGGGCAGGGACAGTTACTTAATCTCTTACGCGTGTACTTGGCATAACCAGAGCTGTGGTCTTGGGTGAGGCACTCTGTCAGCTTGCTGCTGCTTTTAAAACGCAGCAAACAGCCCTGCCCTACTGATGTGCCTCCTCCTGCCTATTAAGCATTTAAACGTTTCTCCACATCTGATACTGTGACAGTGTTGGAGGAAGACTGATGAAAAGGCTGAAGTACCCCTGAGTTACTGGGTGACACTAGCTCTGGCAACAGATTGGAGAACACTGTTGCTCATGGCTTTAAAAAGCAATCTGTTCAGGAGGGGATGTGCTACCGGCTCTGCTTGCAGACTTGTGCTGTAGCCAGGGTGTTGGCACGCAGTGTGTGCTTTCCTCCTCTTCCCACTGGCATCCTTGCTGGTGCTCCAAGACATCACACCACTGAGATAAAAATAGGTCCCCCAAAGTGATAAGCAACAGGAGGTGGGGATGCTTTCTCTCCTCGGGAAAGCGCAGCACAGCCGGCGACTGTGGGGGCATCATTAGCACAGCAGCTCCCGGGCTGGTTAGCAGGGGCTGGAAATGCACGCACGGCTTTTGCCCGCACTGGAGCAGGCTTGTCTCAGCTGAGCCACTCATCGCTGGGTGAGCTCAAAGTCACGGCGAGCGCGTGGTGCTGTAATGACCTGAATTGGGGTGTCACCCTGAATGCAAAAACGACTTTTAAAATTAACCTAGAGACAAGCTCTTGTGGCTCAGCCTGCTGGGCTTTACCCCCTTCCAGACCGCTGTACCCACGCCTGCGCTGCCGTGCCCTGCTGCCCCCTGATGCAAGCACAGGGCCCGCATCCTCCAACGGTGCTGACTACGTGCAGGAGCCCTTGCCTTGCCCTTAGGCAAAGCTGTGTGATTAACTCATTGCTTTTCAACCTAGATGTGGTGGAAGAGGTTTGTTTTGTTTGGTGTTTTTTTTTTTTAAGGCCAGCTCTCCTGGAGGAAGGGTATCCTCCCCATAACTCGGTTTGGCCTGAGCTCTCTTCCACTGTGAGTTAAGCCAAGTCACGCTTCCCTGTGTGTGCCCTCTAACAAGTGCTGCTGTGCAGTGCTGTTCGCACCGCAGCACCTTCCTCAGGAGGCAAATGTTCCTCATCTCCCTTCTGGATTTGAAGGATTTCTACCCAGCGGAAGGGCTCGGCTCTCCCCGCTCTGTGCTCTCAGCATCCCATGCAGGTACGTAGAGACTCGGCGTGGTGTCAGCATCCAATCTGAGCAGAAAGCTCATAAATGTTGGTGTGGGAGGAAGCGCACTTAAACAGAATTTAAGCTGCTCTACAGAGGGTATGACTTTAAAAATTGCTGCCTTGGGAGGCAAACAACCCTATTATGCTTGGTACTAAAGGGACATACAGTTCTCATTAGTGATCTTGTTTTCTCTCCTCCTGCTCTGTTATAACCACTCAGATGCTTCCAAATATTTCCCTGTTGATTTGGTCTCTTATTTAACGAGTGTTGAATCTGACTGCACTGCGTGTGCAGGCTAAGCCTTGCTCTCCTCCTGTCTTTCTGGAGAACCAGAGAGTGCATAGACAAAAGCGTAGTATTTCATAGCTCTTATCAAGGGCTGGTCATAAGGTCAATTAAAAAAAAAAAATTACATTTCTTCCTGAGTAGTGAGTAAGTATTTGAGGTTGGTAGGCCTGTTAGCCCAGGTACTTGACCAACCTGGTATCTGTTTATCTGTTTTCCAGGAATTGATTCAAAGCACAGCTCAAAGCAAATATGCAAGCAAGTCTGCTTTCCTCTAAGGCCTGGCAGCTCACTCCTTTATGCTGCCTAGCTTGTGTCTGCTGCCTGGGTCTCCGAGGCTAAGGCGACAGGACTGCCTTGTGACCATGGGCACATTGAGAACTCCTGCAGGCTTGTACCAGCCTGCATCCTGGAGCCTAAGAAATGATCCAACTGATGGGAATGGGTTTTTTTTTAAAAAAAAAAAAAAAAAAAAAAAATTTAATCTGCCCTATGTAGGGTTAAGCTTTTTATCATCCATTCATTTTGGTCTTTCCAGTGGCTGTAGTAGCGGTGCTCTTGCCAGTGATATCAGGATATTCAGACTTCCAGCAAGTCCACTAATACTGGGGGGAGGAGGAGAAACAGGGTTTTTTTTTTAAAAAAAAAAAAAAAAAAAAAAAGAGAGAGAGAACACTACATTTTGGAAAACCCACTAACTTTATTGACCTGCTAGACTATCTTCAATCATGGGTAGAACTGGCAGGTTTTGTAAAAAACTCTTACTGTCTTTTCTTAATGCTTTTATCACTGAAGTGCACATTTATCCACAGAATGTGTGTCAGAAGTGGAGTTAGAAGAGCCCTGGGGGTTTATCTCTGCTCCTTCTCCGTCAGGATATGTGGGAAGCACAGAGCGCTCTTCGATACTCCGGCTGTCTTTGAAGGGCATGGCAAAGATTATAGTAAAGCATCTGTCAATAACATCGTTACTGAACTGCCAAGAGGAGTTTCTTGGGATTTATGAAGAGAGCCAGCAAGGAAGAAAAGTGCTAGGTAACAACAAACAATCCAGCTGAGGACACTCAGTCCTAGAAATTTCTCACTTTCACTTGGGCCAGCTTCAGAAAGGGTTTCCAGCCCCAGTTGCATGGCTCTGATATGTGG